AAAAAAATTTTTTTCTAACAGTGTGCAGCTGTGATGGGTTGTGTACAAGCTAATAGTGTGTCAGAATGGTATATATTTATACTTCTCATCCAAACACAATTAAATTCACTCTATAGGAGACACAGTTTATCAGGAGAGGATTTTTAAAGTAACAACTCAGAATAAAACAGGAGTAACAACTTTCTACTTCTTACCTTTTAAAAAAAAGTAGTGAGTAGAAAGTACAGATAACTGTGTAAAAATGTAATGAGTAAAAGTAAAAAGTACGCTGAAAAATAATTACTCAATTAAAGTACAGATAACCAAAATTTCTACGTAAGTACAGTAACAAAGTATTTGTACTTAGTTACTTTGCAACTCTGATTAAAACAATACTGTTTTTACCGTTTTAAGAAAACTCTGAGTCAGCTAAAAGCTGTATTGGCTGGTCAGATGTGCAAAAATCAAAGATTGGAACAAAACTAATCAATGCATCTCCTGTAGGGTTGGGCATAATCGTATCATGTGCAATTAATCATCAGAAAAACATTAATCGATTAATTTTTGGCACTTGACGATTAATATGATTAATACCACCAGTCAGAGTCTGGTCAGAGCTCCTCTGCTTCAAATATGAGGAACATTTAAAAAAAAAGTTCTGTAATTTATTTATCTATCAACACAATTTATAATTTGATGTACAGCCTGAAGTCTGTAATTTTGACACAATTTGGAACAGATTTTTTTGAAGAGCCAATTTTCTCCCTATAAGTAGGTCATGTGACCAGGACATAAGTGTGTCCAGGGACTCCAGGGGATTAATCATCAAATTAATCGTTATCGACTCAATACAACACATTAATCGTGATTAATTTTTTTGCCATTATTGCCCAACCCTAATCTCTTGTATATTACTGTATATGCCAGTTAACCTTGTTTACACAAAATCTGGTCTTCATTATTTTCCTGCTCATTTTTGTGTAGAATAATTCATTTATTAATTTTTTATTTTAAAGGTGTGTTACATACAGTATGTGTGTAAACAGTGTCACCTACAGCCTGGGATGGTACACTCAAACCATAAATGCAGACATTGCTCTCGTATGCAGAGACTTTTCTGGGCGGTTGTGGCTGAGTGCTTAGGGAAGTCATCTTCCGATGAAAGAGTTGGCAGTTTGATTCCACCACTATTTAGTCACATGTCCAAGTGTCCTTGGGCAAGACGTTAAAACCCTACTGTCTCTGATGTGTTTTCCATCAGTGTATGAATGTGACCTAAGCACTGATTAGTCTCTGTATCAGGCCTGGTCAGTCCTGGTCCTGGAGGTCTGCAGTCCTGCATGTTTTACTGGTTCCTCTGCTCCAACACACCTGATKTGATGATTATCAGGCTTCTGCAGTACGGAGGACCAACACTGACTTAATTAGAAATAAAAGCAGAATTAAATGAACCACTAAATAAATACACTTAAAATGTACCAATTAAATTTAAAAATGAGAACTTTATCTCCTGTTTTATATTTTAATTGACTT